GCGCACTCAAAAGAAAAGCGACCATACTTCTTCTCGGTTCTTCGTACATTCATTCATTCGCTTTTTTCACTCTCTATATTTTCTATCCAACGTACCGCAAAACCTTTGCCTGGCCGTTTTGTGTCGTTTTGTTGTTTTTCATTTGCTGTGTTTTGCGCAAATTAGAAAAAGGGCTTTTTAGCATAGGCGTTGTACCCGTTCGGGTGTCGAGGCCGAAAGAGAGAGAGAGAGAGAGAGAGAGAGAGAGATCATTTATGATTCTTAAAGTGGCAGTTATTTAAGCTCGATTCATTCACAAAATTACGATCCAATTGATTATAAAACCCAATACGCTTCAAATGAAAAACGAGTGTATTTCAGAATGAGAGAGAGAGAAAAAAACACACCGAGTCAAGAGCATTCGAATTGCCAATTGAATGCAACGCAACCGCACGCTGCGAACGAGAAAAAGAGAATAGCAAGAAAAAAAGGAAAATCTCATCATTTGATTTTATTTGCAAATTGGAAAAATCATTGCGTTGGTTCAAGGTTATGTAAAGACGGAATATAGTAGTACTACAACATATTGCTAAAACATCTCTTGAACGAAGAGAGAAACAGTGGTGGAAACGTAGTTTTACGCTAATGCTGCTGCTGCTGCTTCTGCTGTTGCTGCTTTTATGCTGTTTTGCTGGCTTGAAAACACCCTCAGCTCCGATTACACCGACTATATTTAAAACCATAGTTTTAATTCATTAATTAAAATCCTCTTGTACGAAATATTCACTAATTGGCCTAATTGGCCATTTCTCTTCTGCTCTCACTTGCTCGCTCCATATATAATTGCATCTCATGCGCAATACACTTGTACCGAGACAACATCTCTATATCTAGACCAACGAAGTAACGAACGTTAGGTCTTGAAAGCAAGTCTCTTACAAGATACAAGGGCTCATTCATAGTACAGTTTTCGTCGTTATTTTTTTTTGCCATCGTTGTTGTTGCTGCTGCTGTGTCTTCCTCTCTTGTTTCAATTTGATAATTTGAGGATGGAGTAAGAGTGAGAGCGAGAGGCGAAAAAGAGAGGCAGAAGAGAGGAAAAAAATATCACCACTGCAACTCGATGAAAGTGATGTTTGAACGTTACACGGAATAAAAGATGACAGTAATTGGCTTGTTTTAGAGATATTCTGAAATCATTTATGGTATTATTTGTTATTACGAATTTATTTTTTTGTGTGTGTATGTCTGTGTTGTCGTATGAATCAGGGCCTAAAATTTCAAAATTTAAGAACATCCCGATATTTTAAAAAAATTAAAAAACTTAGGTTTTCTGCTGTAAAATAAATGAAAATAGACTTTATTCTCCTTCTTATCATCTACGCAGTTGAATAAATATTGTTATGAATTGAGCAGTAAATATTTGAGTGAAAACGATAAGCTAAATTAAAAAAAAACGAATAGAATATATCAAACTTTAATAATTATGAGTGCTTTAAAATTTCTTAATTGTTTTGATTTCATCATCTTCATCGGAATCTTCTTTTTGTTCTCGAGCACTTTTGAATATACCTTTAAAATATGGCGCATTCTTTGCTTTTCTGTCCATAACGCCGGAAAAATCTTTGCGTTGCTTTTCGTTCATAAATTGTTTGATTGCCATCCTTGGATCCCAGTCTTCGAGATCAGGCATATTAAAATGAACGTAAAGATATTTTACTTGCGTTTCAAGTGAGATACTGCTTCGTAGTGGTGTCTTTATTCTGTTATTTGCGCTTCTAGACCTTTCCACGTCCGCTGAATGCGGCGTACACGCTTGAATTCGTGTTAATATAGTCAGCACTTCTTTGTAATTTTTCAAATTTGTAGAATCTTTTGCAAGAGTTTTGATGATTTCATGCAATTTCCCATTCAATTTCTGTGCAATCTTTTGTTGAACCAACTCGTTATATTGCAATTGAATTGATGTCAAATCGAGATCAGTTGCAAAATTTTTGTGAATCTCGCGCAAATCGGCACGTTGATCAAACGTTACAAATGGTTCTATCAGTTTTATTTGCTTATCATCACTATCGAACCGTTCGGAAAGACAATTCAAAATAGAACCAATTTTATCACTTCGAATGCTTTGAAAATCAATGCCAGACGTTTCTTGTCTTGTACGGCCGTTTTCAGATCGCTGAAGTTCAAAATGCTTCAGAATAAATCTTCCATCATCCGTTTCTTCGATGTCATTTTTTAGCGCCTCTTCCCATCCACCAAGAAGAAAATCTGACTGTAAAGTTAACAGTGCATTACGAAGAGAATTGATGTTTTGCACTAGACTTATGATCGTTAAATCATCGCCTTGTAATTTTTTCTGGTAACGAGAATAAATGTTCAATAAGTCAGCCAAAAATGCGATGACACGAAGATTATCAATTTTCTGAAGAAAAATAAAAAAACCGTTTGCTTTGCTGTCGTTGTTCTTATTTTCATCGAAATATGTCATTAATGCCACCCATGATCGCAAAATATTATTTATAATTGCGGCGCTATACTCCGTCCAACGAATTGTAAACAATTTTGGCAATTTCGAGAGATGTAGTTTGTATTCAGCTGCAATCGATTCGAGCTCAGCTGTACGCAAGCCGGATTGACGCAAATATGACGAAATGGAACTGAGTTCATTCAAAGTGTTTTGCACGATGGTATGTGTTTTGCTCACGTCACCCCAAACCAATTCCATACGATGTGCACTGCACCAAATTTTTAATAGCGGTATAACTGACTTGATGCGACGTATTTCGTCTTCAATGTATTTCCATAAACCACCCTTTTCGCCAAAATTTACATTAGTTCCGTCGGTACAAATCGAAGAGATGCTCAACATCACAGTTTCATACAGTTGCTCACCAATATTGTCAATAATACCTCTTTTTACGGCATCAAACAGACCAAGTGCACCTCGTAATTTCTGTTCGCCTATACCAATAAAAACTAATTCAGGCTCACCATGAGCATTGACAATTTTAAGCAAAATGTAAATCTTGTCGATTTGTTGGCGGTCAATCGATCCATCAACACGGAGAGAACAAGCAAGAGCTGTTTTCAGTTTCCTTTCAAGACATTCCTTGTCCGATCTTACGATAGTGCTTATCAATTCCAAATGAGCAACTGGGTTCACGTACTGTAAATTTAAAAAATGCACAGTTGGCGAATTTTTGTTTTCATATTCAAAAAGTCTCCCAGACTCGGCACCAACAACACGCGACGGCCAACTCCATGCTGAATTACCCAGTTTTTTTGCATCGACGAATACGTCATACAAAAGTTTCGTTACATGCGACGCCAACTTTTTATTTGCTTTGCTCAAGTGTATTTCAATACCAGACTTTAATTCTCCTGGCAAATTAAGTGCGAATTTGCATGCTTTGTGACACTTTGATTCAAAATGATTTTCCACATACGACTGTCGGTAGCGAGCGCCTTCAGATGTTGTGATTGGAGGTGGTTTTCTGTTATCGGTATTCATTTTGACAATGTTTGGAAATGCCATACACACGTTGCACCGAACATAACGCAACTTTGCATCATTTTTATCACGCACTTCAAACGATTCGATGCATTCTTTGCATTCTTTGTGGAAATCCACTTTATTAATTAATGTTGATGTTGCTGTTGAAATTTGATCGACTTGATTTTCATTTGTTTCGGCAATTTGTTCATTTGGTTCGGACTCTTCGATCACTGATGAAGTTGAAGACGAATTTTGTTGTAAAATATCGGGTTCGAACGTGGGAATTGCACTCGCATTTTCGTTTGATGTATTTACACCGCTAGAGTCATTTGGCTTCGGTTTTTTCACAAAAAACCGATCAATACTCGTCTGAATGAGAAATGAACAAATACAACATTTGAAATAAAAATCCATACTACATATGTTCATCAATTTTTTTTTTCAAAAACTTAACATTAAATGAATTTGAAATGTTACCTTCTCGTTCCTTCTCTCTGACATTAGCGGGCTACTATGAGAACCGCTCTTGATTGATTTCAATACACGAATGAAAGCAGCCAAAAACAAAATGCAATTAATGCTCAAATCTTGAGGCTTGAACACATTGCGCTGTTCATCATGCGATTATTATTTTATGTAAACATTTCTGTGTTTGTTCACAGTTCAAAATAAAAGTTATCACAATAATCATTTTTGTTGATTATACAGCGGATATGTCTCGCCTATGTGGTTGGCAGTGAACGCAGTTGACTTTTTTTTGCTGACATGCAACTTTTGCCAAAACCAAAATCAAATGACCGAATAAGTCTCGGTTACTCATGAAATGAATCATAATGAGAAAAGTAGCTAATAAATTAAACACACTAAACGGTATAAATAAAGTAAACAAATTGATCGACTTTGTGTTGTGCACAACACAAGATATCGCCAAAATACAGTTCTGAAATGAGAAATATCATTTGAATATTGGGCTGTTACTTTTTTATATGATAAGAAATCATATTTTAGCGTTGAATCACCACACTCTATTCTGAGAGTGACGATTCACAGCAAAATATGATTTTCAAACGAAACAAAAGTAACATCCCGATTTTCAAATAAGAGCAACACTTTTCAAATAAGAGGATCCCGAATCGGGTAGAAGATCCCAAAATTTTAGGCCCTGGTATGAATGGTAGAGCTCCTCTTGAAAATATTGATCCTTTGGAAATGATTTAAATATAAACAAATTCTTCGAAGCATTATGATACTTTTTCGTTGAATTTAACGAATTTTCTCTTCTATCGACTGAACGATAAGTGATTTAAAAAAATGTACACAAGGAAATGGGAAATGGCAGCTTTCAAAAGAAATATTAATAGAAAATTACTTAAATACGTTTCTATTTGTGCATCATTAGGGCATTCATTGCTTGCTCCATTGACGAGATCGCAAGGATGCACCTTTTAGTTAAATGTTTCACTATATCCAAATTCAAAATACATTGGTTTTAATTTCATTTTCTCTCATTTTATGTTCACAGATCGAATGAAAGTCCGTTTCCTAATTCAAGACACCAGTATCCAGTTTCAGTGGCAGTGGATTCGAACGCAACACGAATGCCAGACATGTGAACAAGTTTTGTTGGTTTTATGTGCAAATCGATAAAATTCATTACACTTAGCAAATACGAAAACTGATTTTCAAGACAAGAACAAGTTAAGAAGAAGAAGAAGTAACCATCGTACATTTTGTGGGACGTTAACTGAAAAAGTTGTTGCACATTTGAGTGAAGTTTTTTCATCTGTTTGTGAAGATAAGATTAAAGTCAATTTTCCGTTTGAGAGCTGTATACGCCGTTTGCCTTAATCAAAACAACAGAACAAGAAAAGAGAGAGAGAGAGAGAGAAAAGCTCCCGTTGCGTTACTTGCGTTATTTGTTGTGTTATTCGTTTGTTTGATTTTTACTTTGTGCTGTAAACTAAATAAAAACCGTCAAGCTGGCCGCCTCCGTAGCAATGAATTCATATCATCCGTATGGGGATATATCATCACCACATCCACCTAGTCCGGACAACAACAACTATGCGTCGTCAATGTCAATTGGCAACGCTGGTGGACACCATCACAATGGTCATGCACAGCTCATGAGTTCGATAGGTGGCCAACAACAGGGTTTTCATCAAATCAACAACAACAATGCAATGTTGAACAAATGTGCTGGCTGCGGCAGTAAGTTTCTTATCCTATATATTCCTACCGATAGATCGATTTCTAGTGCACAAATTCTTGAGGCCTTTTGTCTTAAGTAACATACATTTGGTGTGCGTGTGTGTGTGTGTGTGTGTGTGTGCGTTAACATCAAATACATTTCGATGTGTGGAATGATTTGCAAAATATTTATTATCATAATAGGTAAAATAGCCGAGCGATATCTTCTATCAGCAATCGATAAATTCTGGCATCACACGTGTCTGAAATGCACTTGTTGCGGCGCTACATTAGCCGATTTGGGTACGGTTTGTTACACAAGAGGAAATATGATACTATGTAAGGCTGATTATTCTAGGTAAGTTTTCACTCAATTTATCTATCGTATTATTCACTTTGTTGTAAATTATCGTCATCATCATCGTCGTCGTCGTCGTCGTCGTTGTCGTCGTCGTTGTCGTCGTCGTCAATCCAAATGCAAATTCCCGATGCATTCCAATGTGCAATTGAATGGAGGAAAACTTATTTAACAAATAAACACAATTTTAATGCATTGTAATTGAACTTGATGAGAAATGTGTATCCGCATGCAGCCGAATAGCAGAATAGGTATGCATAGTATGTGTATGTGCTGGAAATAAAAAAAAATATGTTACAAGCAAACTGAATTGCAAATTGAAGGGTTGAAATTAATTACGTTTACGGAGGGAGCGAGCGAGAGATAGTGGAAACATGATGATGTGTCTGGCAAGTAAGCAAACTCAAATAACACAAATTGCATTTGGCACAAAGAATGTGCCGTCGCACTGACCACAATGAAATCGATTATCTCGAATCTATTTCCTTTCCATGCGGCTGCACAGTGCACACACACAACGCTCGTCCTCGCTGGCTAACTCTCTCATACTCAAGATCTGTGCAAACAGTTGCCGAATAACCGTTTATCACATATATTTTTGCACGTATGGATGATGAAGTGAGTGGGCGGTGAGGTGGGTGATGCTTTCGGGTAAAATTTTGCCTGTTTACATTAGTTTTTAATCTGAAATTCAATTTATTAAAACAATTAAAAGCGCATACTTCACCGTCAAATATACATACGCACTCGAGCCATTGCCACTAGCCAACCACTCGTCATCATCGTTCGTCTCTGCTGCTGCTGCTGCTGCTGCTGCATTTCTCGTTCCGAATTTCGACAGACAATTCCATTCACGCAGCTATCGAGAGCAGACGAACGGGCGAAGGATAGAACGAAGATGGCAAAAAAATAGCAGAAACGGAATAGATTGCATTCGACGTGGTGGATGGTAACGCCGGCTACGGCAGCGGCAGCAGCAGCAACGACTGTGATTGGTTATGTGTATTAGCTGTGTGTGCACAGCCACAAAACAAGCTGAAGGCGCGAAGTGATTCAATTATTTTACGCGCGTATTTAAAACAAACATACTTTGGCCATTTTGTTTGCTTTCTTTTCATTGCATCGCCGACGAGAGTGAGTATGTGAAGCGCTCTCTCTTTCCAATATAGAAATCTCCAACAGTTTTTAACAAGTTTTTTTTGGTAACAGTCGTGTGTGTGTGTGTGTGTACTTTTCACGCGTTGCATATTCAATTTGTTTTCTACTGTTTTTTTGCTGCCGCCGATGTTGTTGTTGCTGTTCACTCTTGGTCACGACGGCCAACCAAATTGAATTAAACAAAAATAGTGCGCGCAGGGAACAAAAAAATTGTCGCCAATCGGCTAGATGAAAAAATCAAACACGAAAACTCATTTCCGCTTGACAGACTTAACAACATCGCGGAACAAACAGTACTTGCCATCTCGTTTATTTAGATTGAAATGTGTCGATTTTCCCTGATACATCTTCCTTTTGTTGCGATTGCCCGATTTTAATGAGGTTTTTCCCTCATTCTCGCTCACATCCTCGTCTGTCTGTTGTTCTCTCTGGGCTGCAATAATACAAAACTGCATCAAAAATGCAACAAAAAATCGCATGTACGACGAATATGATCAAATGATTCATATTTTATTAAGGTTAACATGAATGAATATTTCAATTTCCTCGTGGAAATGCGTGATATAATTCAGTAAAGCAAAAAAAAAATGAAGCGAAATAATTAGCACAATGTGCACCGGATTTAAGTATCCCCGAATCGAAACTGTTTCGCGGCTGCATTTTCCTACATGTAGGTACAAAGTTAATCTAAGAATGATTTCCATGTAAATTTATTCGAATTTCCGTGAGCTGAAATTGGAAAATAAATTTTTGGGAAATTCATTAAAAGTGATCAAACGGAATGCAAACTTTGCTATCGCAGCCAAATTGAGTCTCTGACTCATTCCAGGGGCTGTGCGTGTGCATGCGAGGAAATTTGTCGATGGAAAAGTGCAGTGTGGAAAAGCTGAACATATATTTGATGTAAGAGAAAAAGCTATATGGAATTTACGATTGAATGCGCTTTTAAAATCCACCTCGATTCAACTGAGATTGACTTGCAAGTCATCTCATGGCACCGTCATGTAGTTTCATGTTTGTCAAAGAGTGAGAAAGAGCAGCAAATTCTAATTTCATGCACAGCGACTGAAAAAAAGGAGGAGAATAGCACCAGTAATACACGACGGACGGACGAACGGACGGAGAGAATATTCCACAGAGCGAACAGTCAACAGCAGCAGCAAAGCGAAGCAAGCAGAGGCAATCAGTGAGCTTTAAATGATGAATCAATGGCAAACTAATTAGATTGGCATTCATGCTGCGCGCGCTCTCCGATATAAAACTAAAAATTATTTTATCACCATTGTTTCTGTGGTGTTGGCAAAATCACGCAATGAAATATTATCACAAAGCTATTGTCGAGTCGACAGAAATCCAGATATCTCTATATAATACATATAGATAGTATTTTTTTCACCTTCAATCTTTTATCATCTCAGCGGCGTGTGCTTTTTTTGTTGAATACAACAACAGCAGTGGCGACAGCATCCGATCCTTGTGCACAAAAAACGCTGGCAACAGCAACCGCACCAACGACACAAAAAATATACGTGAATTAAATGAGAGAGTCTTTTTTTGTTGTTGTTACTCTCGGTCGGTTTTGTTTTTGGATAGAGCATCGCATGTAATAAAGCATCAAATAATTATACGTTGAACCGTAGTATAGCCGGGACTGTGTAGTGGTGTTATCTGTGATAAAATCGTTTATTATACAATTGAAATTTTTATATGTAATACCTCGACAATGATTGCGTTGATTCTTTGTGATAGCGGTGATGATGTATTGTTATTTCTCTATCATGTAAATAACAAGAGCAGCTCTTTTTTGCACACACTCTGCACTCTCCTTGGCAATGGATAGAACGAGAGAGTGAGCTATTCTAGATAAAAATGTGGAATTCTGCTTTCATGGTTTTTGCTGTACCTAGTAAATTCGTTTTTTTCCTGCTGCGGCTGCTGCTGTTCCTGTGTGTGTATGTTATCATTACGACTGAATCGACGTTGAATGGAGCAATATGTTTTGAGAATGCATGTGCAATTTATTATATTAATATAACGTTTATTCATATTTTATGAAGTGATAGAGTGGGAGAGAGATACCGGCGTTTTCTGTACATGGTGCCGCTCATTGTGCGCTATTATCGGATACACGCATTGTATTGCATTATGCACTATTATCACTATGTTGCACGAGATTGCCACCACGTGAAATGGCACATCAACACATTAAAACTGAACTGAACCGAACCAAAGCCGATGTGATGCATGTTGAAAGTTGCAACGAAAATACACACATATTTTGCGATGCAGATTCTATTTTTCGTCTGTTTTCATTTGCCCGAACAATATTATTTGAATGAAATTTTGATCGTTCGCAGATAGTTTTTGTTTGGGTTTTGCTGGTTTTAGCCGCATTCACCTATCTCCGAATCATCATTAATAATAATTCAAGCGGCATTAAGACCATCCAATATTCTGCACCAATCCCTTCCAATAATGATCTCTTTTTGCGTTTATTTGCTTACTCTTTCCCTCAGTTGTTGTTTTTTTTCCAGCATATTCATGCTCAAATTGATGGTTCCCATGTGTACGCTCGTTTTTTTTTTATATCGATATCGATTGTGTATGCTTCAACTGCAAAAATGTCCAAAAAATAAGAGAGCAATAGAGAGAGAGAGAGAGAGAGAGAGAGAGAGAGAGAGAGAGAGAGAGA